GGGGCTTCATATAGAAAAGCACATACATTAAAAATGCAAAGAACCTTATTGGTGGTGGGTAGGAAACATTAAATCCACCTTAAGCATTATTAGTTTTATGTATTTAATTATGGAGCAAATTATACACATAATATAGATATAAACACTTAAGGCTATGTTTGGTAAAACTAACCGATAAGCTACCTGACAGCCCATAAGTAATTTTTCGAGCTTATAGCTTATGACTCACATAGCTTATATTATAAGTGTTTGGTAAAATTAGCTTATAAGTTAGTTGAAATAAAAATTTCAAATACCTTATTTGAAAAGCTACCCAAAGTAGCTTATGAGATAAGCTCGAGCTTTTTGAAAAAACTCGTCCTACCAAACGAAACTTATTTAAATACATGCAGCTTATTAGCTAGTTTCTTTGTCTACCAAACAAAGCCTTAGTGGCCTTCATTAACAATCTGGCCCTATAAAAACAGCCTTAAGAAGCAGCCACAATTTGTTACTAAATCATATAGAGTACGCTTAAACCAAGGTAACGACAAAAAAATTGTCACCGTTATCCATAAATGGACGTATATCGTGAATCCGTCAAATTTACTTAAATTGAAAAAATTCATTTTGATCAGAAATTAACAGCACTTTCTTGTAGCAATGGCATGTGACGTGAGCCATCACCGCAGTCAGGAAGTCCAACTTTCTATCAGCAAACCAACATTCTCACAATGCTCAAAGGCATATTCATGGGCAATTGTTAGTCACAAAAGATTGACCCTTTAAACAATTGATAGTCACTCAAGCACACAAAATCCACATCTTATACATATTAACTCCAGATCTCTTCACGATTTTCCCTTGCCGATCACACTCAACAAATATAAACACTGGTTGACCTATTCCGATCAAGTTCTACCTACGGCAAGTAACCAAATCATCTGGCCAAAGAGTATCTGGCCTTCTTAAACACATTCAATAGTACTTACCGACTTTCGAAAAGGAAACCCATGCATTTGCATGCAGTTGCAGCAACTAACACATACCACCTCAACGCAACAAAAGCACATAATCTATCAGTTGAAATTAAAATGCAGTTTTCTATCTACAGAGGGGACATAATTGGTATAAAAAACTCTCACTTTCAAATTTCCACAAAAATAGAAGGAGAGAACACTGGAACTCTACACCACAGTCAGCAAAATTCAAAAGTAGTCTAATGTCAGCCAAGCACTGCCTTAATCCAAAAGATTGATCCTTTAAACATTTGATAGTCACTCGAGCACACAAAATCCACATCTTATACATATTAACTCCAGATACTCTTCACGATTTGCCCTTGCCAATCACACTCCACATATATTATTACTCGTTGACCTATTCCGATCAATTTCTACCTACGGCAAGTAACCAAATAGTACTACCGACTTTCGAAAAGGAAACCCATGCATTTGCATGCAGTTGCAGCAACTAACACATACCATCTCAACCCAACAAAAGCACACAATCTATCAGTTGAAATTAAAATGCAAATTTCTATCTAAAGAGGGGACATAATTGGTATAAAAAAAACTCTCACTTTCAAATTTCCACAACAATAGGAGGAGAGAACACTGGAACTCTACACCACAGTCAGCAAAACCCAAAAGTAGTCTAATGTCAGCCAAACACTGCCTTAATCAAATTCAGACAACATCCTCAAAAAACAAAAATTGAGTAAAGACGAAAACCTTCTGAATCTGCTCGGTGGTGATGTTGTTCGGAGGGAACGAGGGCATAACCGGAAACATCGGCCCTGGTTGCTGCATATTTACTACTTTCCTGCTTCAATAAAAATCGAACCTTTACATGTTATTATCAACCAAGATGATCAGTAATGGCTCTCTCTCCAAAAAGGGGTAAAAAAAACCCTAAGCCCACAAATCAACAACCGAAAAAAAAAATCAAATCTTGAAAACAAATAAGCAAGAATCATCAAGATAGATAACAAAACGCAGCGTTTTGCCAAGAAAATTAACTGAAGCAGAGAAAAAGAACATATAACTTGCTGTGATTTACCTCGTCTGAAAGTGGGTTTTGGCAACTGGGGTGAGTGTTGTATTATTATCAAGAAACCAATATTTGAAATTGATTGAAAAAAAAAAAAAAA